ATTATTATTATTATTATTATTATTATTATTATTATTATTATTATTATTATTATTATATTATTCTTATTCTTATATATTATAATATATAATTTTATTATTTATTAGTATTATTATTACTATTACCATTATTATTATTATTACTACTTCTACAATGAATATTATTTTTAATAACAATAACAATATTATTATTATTATTATTATTATTATTATTATTATTATTATTATTATTATTATTATTATTATTATTATTATTATTATTATTATTATTACTATTATTATTATTATTATTATTATTATTATTATTATTAGGGTAAATTACAAACACCCCCCTGAGGTATGGTCAAATTACAAAACACCCCCTCTTGTTTGGATAATTACATCTACCCCCTCAACTATGATTTTTTCTTACACCTCCACCCTTATTGTGCCAAATTCAACATAATCATCTAGATTCCGTGGAATGTGCTCTAGTTTGTACTCGTTTTGTGTAAACATACAGTTTCCGATGCACCACAAACTAATATATACAAGCGAAAAATCACATATTATGATCAACTTGCTTCATAATGTAGAGTTTGAATGGGATAAAACGGGTACACAAGCGATAATATTCCATATAATCTCGAAGATTCCACTTAATTTGAGGAGTTGAGGGGTGGTTGTAATTATCCAAACAAGAGGGGTGTTTTTGTAATTTGACCATACCTCAGGGGGGTGTTTGTAATTTACCCTTATTATTATTATTATTATTATTATTATCATTATTATTATTATCATTATTATTATTATTACTATTATTATTATTATTATTATTATTATTATTATTATTATTATTATTATTATTATTATTATTATTATTATTATTATTATTATTATTATTATTATTATTATTATTATTATTATTATTATTATTATCATTATTATTATTATTATTATTATTATTATTATTATTATTATTTTTAGTAGTAGTAAATTGAGAGGAAAGAGAGTGTAGATATTAATGAGGAGAGAGAAATGAGAGGAGAGAGAGTGTGAATATTAATGAGGAGAGAGAAATGAGTTGATGGAATAAAATATATAGGTTAGTAGTAGGTTTTAGTAGGTTTGAAAATTGAAAAAAGTATGAATAGTGTATTTTCAATAGAAATTTGATAGGAAAAAATGGGATTTTCTGGATAAAATTGTGAAACAAACATGATCTCGGTTTTATGAATAGTATAGAACTGGAAATTGGTTTTGGAAATAAAACCAAACATCCCCATAGTATTTGTAAAATGTAATTAATTTGTTTCTTTATTGACTTTTTATATACTGTTAATTAATTAAAGCTAGCTTTATTATTTCTTATCATATATTATTAATTAATTATTTATTTAAAATAAATCAGTATGGATAGTTGTGTTTTTATATATATGTAAAATTGCATGTAATAAGCAAATATTGTGTTGACTTGATATAATAATATATAGTTAATAATGGGATTGATTGGTAGTGGCATAAAAGTGTGAAGTTTGACAAAAATCAAATATGACACACCTCACATGACTTAGGCCTAACCATGTCGTGCACTCTGCTTTTTCATTTATTATTTATTTACTTATTGTATTTTTTTTTTTATTCATTTCACTAATAATAAATATATGTATATTAATTTCACTAACCGTGCGTCCGTTAAATCACAGTACACTAACCAATAAGCATGTGTGACAAGCTCAATCTAGCAACAATTTCATAAATTACGACATATGATGTTGCTCGCAAGAGTGATATGGTTGATGAAATAATAAGATAACAATTTTTTAATTGTTCTGAGTTCGATTTTCTCTGCCAACATTTTTCAGGTCGAGTCAATATATCATGGTTTACCAAATACAGTTTACGCTTCGTGTGATTTGTAGATTGTTGCGGAAAGTAAATATTTTCGTAGCGAACATACGTGGTTGCGTGTTTCGTTCGTAAAATAAATAAATAAATAAATAATAATGATAATAATCTTGAGACTATAATATGGTAATAAAATAATGGGCTTTTTGGGGTTGATTGGGCCAGGAAAAGGCCATATGGGCTTTTAGTTATCGAATTGTTTAATTTGCAAAATAGTAATTATGTACATGAGGCCCATACACTGTCATGCTCATTACACCCATCCTCTTTTTTTTTTTTTAATATAATTTTTTATTGTCAATTATAAAATATATTATTCATTTGATATATTAATTTTTATACTAAATACTTCTATAAACTCACAATACGATTGAAGTTAGTTGCTGGTGGCAATTTCTTAGTATATAACCAAGTTTACTTGTACTCTTGAGAATCAAGTTCAATTCTGTATAAATATTCAATTTAAACGAATCGCTATCAAGAACAGTTCACCGAAATCGAAGCAAAAAAGAAAACTCTAATGCTGCATAAACCCTAGTATGAGAAATTTAATCTGAAATTTAACGAATCAACTGAAATAGTGTAGACGCATAAAATTAATTAATTGGTTAATTAAATTAGCCAATTAAATTGTGTCTAAATTAAATTATAATTTATCTTTGAAAATAAGTTATGGAGATAATTATCAATTAATTATTGGCCAATAGGATTATTTCTTCTCTTCCAAGTTATAAGAGATAAATATCAATTTAAATAGAGCCAATCAAATCGTGCCACGTCATCAAGTAGACTTTAAGTAGGACTCTTATTCTACCACTATAAATAGGGACCCTCTCTACACAATTCAAGAGACAACTCAAGAAGGAGAAAAACCGTAGAGAAAATTCTCTCTACAATATTCAAGTCGTTCTTCAACAAATTCAAGGCGTTCTTCATCAAATCGAGGGCGTTCTCCAACAAATTCAAGGCGTTCTTCATCAAATCGAGGGCGTTCTTCAACAAATCATGATCAAAGGAAGATTGAAGGGCCAAATCCATCAAGAACTCCAAGATCTTCAAGTCAGAACCCGTCAAAGTTCAGCGTTCGACCCGAGATTCAAGTCGCAAGACCCTTGGAAGACGTTATTCAAATCCAAATCAAATCCGGAGAAGATCAAGTCAACGACCCGACTCCGAAATTCAAAGTCAAACAAATATTGTTCTTGAGAGAAGAATCAGAGGATTAAATTAGAGTTTGTAACCCGCAATATATTTATTTTCAATTCAATAAAATTATCTTTGTGCAAGTATTTCTTGTTTGTCTAAATCGCAGATAAGAATTTGTTGTTACAAATAGAACACACGAAATATTCATGATTTATGTGTTACTAAAGGGAGAAATTTTTTTTATCCTCAAGATAGCTTGGCGACTTCTCACTGATCCATCATCTCTTTTGACCAGACTTATGAAATACAAATACTACCCAACAAATACCATTCCCAATGTAGCTAAACCAAAACCACATCATAGCAGTATTTGGAAATCAATATATAAATGTATTCATAAACTGAGAGAATGTCGGTTTTGGCTGGTTGGCAATGGCGAAAAAATCAATTTCTGGACAGATAAATGGATTGATAATATTATTATAGCCGATTATGTTTCTTGCATCCCTGATCATCTAGTAAATCTTAGAGTTTCTAATCTTATCCACCCGATTCATCAATCATGGGATCTTACTTGTGTTTCAAGTTTTATACCCCAATATATTGTTGACAAGATTTTGACTATTCATATACCCGAACATCGTCGTAAAGATACGTTTAAATGGGCATTTACAAAAGATGGCATATTCACCCTCAAAAGTGCCTACCTTTGGTTATTTAATGACCAACATTCAAGTTTTACTCCTTCTCTCCCATGGCAAACCATTTGGAAATCCACGGTAAGTCCGCGTATTAAATTTTTTCTCTGGCAACTCTCTCATAATTGTCTGCCTACATCCGACTTCCTTTATAGAAGAAAAGTGTTAAGAATAAATACATGCCCGTTGTGTGGAACCTACCCCGAAACCATCACGCACCTTTTCTTCCAATGCCATAAACTCCAACCTCTAATCCGCAAACTCACACACGTTCCCTCTGAAACTACATCTCATTTTTGTAGTCTTGCATATGCCCTTTTAAAAAAATACAAGACCTATCCGAACCAACTTTACACCCTCCTATGGTTTATCTGGAAAGCTCGTAACAACTTTATTTTTCATAATATTCCAATAAATATAAACCAAATCTGGCTTCTTGTGAAAAATAGTTTCATCCCTAATATACCACCTAAACCTAACAAAATTACAATTAGCCTTCGATGGCAGCCTCCACCGGTTAATTGGTACAAACTAAACATCGACGGATCAGCCCTCATGAACCCCGGAAAAGTCGGCATAGGCGGTATTATCAGAGATAACACAGGAACATTTATAATGGCATTTGCAAAGAATATTGGGTATACTACTAATAATGCAGCAGAAATGTGGGCACTATACATTGGTTTAAAAAAAGCAAAAGAACTTGATATACATCGACTTGTTATTGACACCGACTCATCTTTTCT